TCCTACTACTGGTAATTCAAATAATTTAAATTTGTTCTTGTTCAATCAGAAATCCCAGCATAGACAGGTATGCTATGACTTATTTGTTACAATTGCTCTTATGATGTTAATAATACCTATCAAATGTGCTGCATATGACACATGAAAAAGAGCTTGCATCTCACATAAAAACAATGAAAATATGTCAAAAGCCTTTAATGTGAAAGCACAATTTGATCAGTCTAAATAGGAGGGATTGTATTTTAAGTCTGGCCACAGCCAATAATGTGAAGTGACAATTCTAATCTGAGCAATTTCCAGGAAGCCACATTCTCCTCCATTGGCCAGACACCCACCCTGGCCTCATGCACGATAAAAGAGCATACCTCTGCCACCTTTCCATGGTGTGGTCAACTGTAGACTGCAAGAGCCAGGCCCCTCCCAACATCCTGTGTACTGCCACCGGCCATCATCAGAACCAGCATCATGTCACCCACATTCAGCAGCCTAATGGTGTCTTGGTGAGTCCTGGAAGGGAATGGAGGTGGGGAGCCCTAGTACAGAGATATTGGCCTGGAGATATCTGCTGGGTATCTCCACAGCAGGGGGTCCTGCTTCACTGGAGGTGGGTGGGCATTGAGGGCTGAATCTGTGTTCAGCCCAGCATGGGCCAGGTGGGGCAGGAACAGAAGACTAAGTTGGTGTGGTGATGGCTCATCCATTGTGATCTTTCTTTCCAAGGTTCTTCTTGGTCCAGGGGATCTGGGCACATGCGGGTAAGTCCTTCCCCTAACCTTGGGTGCCATCCATCCCATATAAGGGAATTACCATATGGGCAAATCTTCTGTGAGCAATGGACCCCTTTCTTCCCCAGAGACCCTCCCAGCCATTCTTCCCCTTGGTTGAACTAAGCTCTGTGGGGACCTGCAGGAAATCATGGCACTCAAGCTGAGGTACCTAGGGGAGGATATGGCATCACCAGTAAAGGAACAGAAGGAAGCAGTGCTGAGGACAGCCCACCCCTCTGAGAAGGAGGCAGGGGGTAATTCATGTTCTCTGGTGCCTCCAGGATGGCCGGAGCTGCAGATGTAGCTACCATCCTTCTACCAGGAGAGAGGAGGGGACCATGTGCTATGACTCCTGAGATTCCAAATATTCTGATGGAGGCTTAGCTATTTAATGTGGCTCACAGTACTTACTGATGCTGTTTTATTTACATAGGTCTTGCCATACATTCCATGTCTCCTTCGAGTTATTCATGGAACTGATTTTTCAGTGTTAAAGTCTAGTTAAGAGTCCCTTATTCCATACTTGCTCAAAATACTCAGTAGATACTTTTGTTGTGGGCAGATACACTGATACACCCTGTCTGTGGGGTGGTGGGTCTTTCATGTAGCCCTAGGCATCCTGGGATTGAAAAGGAACCTCAGGAACACATTGAGGGTGGAGGACCCCTGAGCACAGTGGGGAGGGAAGACTCCTCATCTTCCTATGTCTGTGCATCCTGCTCCCCCAGGTGGTCATGACAAGTCCTCCCTGTCTGCCTGGCCAAGCCCTGTGGTGCCTCAAGGAAGATACGTGACTCTTCAGTGTCACTCTCATTTTTCTTTTCACGTCTTCTGGCTGTATAAGGAAGATGGGGCCCATGTTCCTGAGTTCCAGGGCAAACTATTCTGGAATAGCTTCTTCATGGGCCCTGTGACTCCAGCACATGCAGGCCCCTACAGATATTGTGCTTTTTACCCTCTCTCCCCCTCTGGATGGTCAGCACTCAGCAAACTCCTGTCAATCATGGTCACAGGTCAGAGGGTCCCTGCCTGGCTGGGGTAGTTTTCATTGTTTCAACATCCTGAATCCCAGAGCTTCTGATGGGAGTGTTTGTTAGTCAGGGCCCAATGGGAAAAGCAGGAACTTCTCCGTGTACTTTGGGCAAAAGAGGATTGGATACAGGGAACTGGGCAGTGAAGCAGCAGTGATATTGGTCCACAATGAGGTGCTCATCAAAATACCTGAACTTGGGAATATGTTATGCTGCATTGCCAGGACAAAGAAGGCTGAAGATGCAACTAAAGACGTTAGTCAGCTGACATTGGAGTGGAGCAACTACTGTGGGTTATACAGGTGGCCTCAGTGTGGTCACAGGATCCACGTGAGATAAAGAAGGAGCAGTGGAGTGGGGGTCAGAGCAGCCTGCAGGACACACCCCACCAGCCCCACTGGCTTTGGAGATGGAGGAAGGGCCAGTAGTCAAGGAAAAATGGGGATTTTCAAGGCTGAAAATGTCAGAGAATTGTGTCCCCAGAGTCTCCAGGATGAGCCCAGCCCTGCAGACACCTATATTTATACCAGTGAGATTATTTCAGACTTCTGACCTCCAGAATAGTAAATGTGTTCTCTTCTGCCACCATGTTTATGTTAGTTACAGAAGCAACAGGAAATTGGTAAAAGTATCAAGGACAAATCCCTGATCAAGGACAAATTAAGATGTTGACCAGGTGAAGTGAGACAGGGTGGTGACAGGAGGGGCAGGGCTGCCTGAGGAGCCGATGGGGCCTCAGGAGGAGGAATGAGTGGAGAAACATGGGAGGGGTGGGGCAACAAAGGAAGGGGCGGGGCTCCTAAACCCATGCTCAGCCACCCCAGGGAAATTGGAACCACTCAGAAGGCAAAAATGTGGCAGGAGATATCCCTCAATCCCCACCAGGAACAGGCTGGGTGAACGTGTGGAGTTCTGAATTACCTGCATCTGTGATTGCCAGCAAGTCCAGTTTGTCCAGAGGCGCTGAAGCCAGGCTGGTAAGAGCCTGGAAATGCACACTGTAGCGGCCCCTCCTCTTCACCCACAGAAAGCAGGAGATTGGTGGGAAACAGATACAGCAGCCAAAGGGCCCAGGAAGAGCACAGTAGGAAGTGAGTCTAGTGTTCCTGGAGATAAACAGAAACAAGGAAGGGGAGAGATGGGGAGAACTACACAGAGGGACACACAAGAGAGCAAGAGACACAAAGAGAAAGGAGAGAGATGGACACAGGGAGGCACCCTCACTCCTTCCAGGTCTCATGGAATGGGATGAGGAAGGGTGACTCCTTCTAAACTCACAACCTCTGTTCTTAGGAATCTACAGAAAATCTTCCCTTTTGGCCCTCCCAAATCCCCTGATGAGATCGGAAGGAAATGTGACCCTGCAGTGCTGCTCAGAGATCATGTTTGAGAGTTTCATTCTGATTGTGCACAGAGAGCGGAAGCCTGAAGACATTTTGCACCTTGTTGGCAAGCTCCATGGTGGGAGCTCTCAAGCCAACTTCTCTGTGGGTCCTGTGACACCTGCCCATGCAGGGACCTACAGGTGCTATGGTTCTGTCGGTCACTCCTCCTATGAGTGGTCAACTCCCAGTGATGCCCTGGATATTGTGATCACAGGTTAGAGTGTCCAGACTGCCCCTCATCCTCCTTGGGATAATAGAGGTTCTAGGACTGAGAGGACCCAGATGGTCATGAGGAAGATGAATGTGGGATTATTGTGAAGAGAAACAGACTTGATGAAAACCATACCAACAACAGAGGCAAAGAAAGAAGAGACGAAAGTACAGGTCACTTGTCATAACATGAAGGACAGGTATAGGCAAAGAGCAGGGAGATAGAAATAAGGTGGAGGGTGAAGGGAGGCAGACAGATCTGCACATGTCGGGAAGCATGTGTGACTCCATCATGTCTTTGATGTTTAGAAGTTGGATCTCTGGGGAGG